TGACTGAAAATCTCTCTCCCTCACAGCCGGATCTCTGTCTCCAGTCGGTGATCTGATTTGTTCCTCTCAGCGGGGAGACGGTTTCTTGCTCAGGTTCTCCCCCTACAGGACGCGTGTGACAGTGGACGTGTTTGTGTGTTTGTGGAGCGGCGTCACATGTCACAACAGTCAGTCTCTCCTACTCCTCTTCATCCTCTGCTTCTTCCTCTTCCTTTTATTCCTCCCTTTCTTTCTCCTCCTCTTTGTCCTCCTTCTCCGCTTCCTCTTCTCCTCTTCCTCTTCTCTTGTGAACTGTACATCACGACCTCTCAAACACACACACACACGCTGCCTGTGCTACTGATGCAATGGGTCCCTTGGTCGTCACGGCAACAGGGAACCACATTTTATATTTATACAGTACACAGTATTTACGAACTCTTGCAGCGCGTGTGTATATTTTCTTTTGCTCCGTTATTTCTCTGTTTTCTTCGTTCTGCGTGCAATTCTGTTACACAAAACGTTCTATATTACACAAAACTGACTCTTGTGACGTTATAATGCTGCTACCTCCTCAAAAACAGACCAGGATTTGTGTGTTCTGAGCTCAAAATGCTCTGTTCCACCTTGTGATGTCATCTAGTCGTATTTTTAAAGTTTAGAACTCCTTCTACCTTTAGTTCATTAGGGCTGGGTATCATTAACCTGTTACCACCCACCTCATTTTGGCGTGTGCACAATAGCACTACATACCCAAATGCCATAGCTTATTAAAAGAAAACCTTAGAACCCACATGCTTGTGTGAGGCACCATTTTAAAGCTTAGGCCTTCTAGTTTCTGTAGATATGTACATGAAGACTGTGAGTGCTGCCTAACCTACAGTACAGTCAATTAAAAATTTTTTTAAAAAAATTGTGTATTTTTTTTGCTTCGAAAAAAAAATTGAAAAAAATAAAGGCCTTAGCTTGGTCATACTTCATGCTAGGCATTTGTGACTCACTACACTCATTGTTCAAGTTGTTGGCAACAACTGTGTAGAATTTCAGATCTCTAGGACAAAGGGTTTTGATGCTGTGAGCCTTTGTGTAAACAAAATGACAATTCGGCACAAGATTGCCAAATTTAATAATAATTGTTATTATTATAATACTAATTCTTCTGAGCTTTAGGCATGTTTTCTCAAGAAAAAAAAACTAAAAGTAGCCAAAATTGTCCTCCAAGTGGAAGATCTGCCTCCTATATCACCGCCCGCACTGCTCCCTGTCTCCCTCTCGCCTTACGCTTGTAAACACAGCGTCCGTTTCAAAGTCCATCTGAATGTCCCACCCACCGTTTGAAAGCTCTGGTGATAGGCTAAAACAATATGTCAATCACTTTCTGGAAGATCCAATGACTGAAGAGATTTCCCGTAAACAAACTGATGACGTGTGCGTAAAGCCAGGAAGTACGTGAGTGCGTTAGCTTCTTCAGCGGCTTGTCCCACCTAAACCACGGCACCGACAACAGCGGGGAGGGTCTCATTTTGAAGCTAAGAGTGTGAGGAAAACAAGCGCACCCAACAGTGCTAGCAAACCTGCTAGAAATGCAGTGGACGGAGGGAGAGAAGAGAAACTTTTTTTCATATCATTGTATCCATCGATTCATACAGACGAGGGTTTTCTGGATTATTTCCCCACATGGAATTATTTTATGGAAAAAACAACTTGATATTCTTTTTCTGTGGATTATTATGGACTTATTGAGTACAACTTTTCATGGATTGAACGCGTTTTGGACCGACAGAACCGGCTCAAAGGTAAGAAACGCGTATCTCATTCTTTGATATGATGTGAATTTTTAAGTTATAGCGTTTTGGGCTCGTTGTACGGCATAAAATGAATGATATGGTTGTTTTATTGAGAAATTAAGCTTTCAAACGATGTATGGCATGACAGTAGTGAAAACAATAATGAAGGTGAATATACAGAGTGAACATTTTTTTGGGGAAAATCGCCCGCCGGCGGGCGGGTGGATGGTAAGTTTAAAAAGTTGCCGATACCATACATAGCTCGATATATAGGGCACGGTACGATACATTTTTCGATACAGTGCACTTTCGATTCAGTACGATTCAATACGATTCAATACGATATATTTCAAATCGGCTAAATCGTAGCTGTGATACTAAAAGTCTTTATTAATCCACTAAGTTTGTGCAAAGTTTAAATGAAAAATGACCATTTTATTCAGAACTGTGAAAATGTCAACACAACTGTAGCTCTTACACAAAATAATTTAGTAAAATATACCTAAAAATACGCAATACAGCAGCCCATGATATCGACACTGTATCAGATTAAACAATACGATATGTTGATATTTCAATATTTAAGTTAAGTTCAGTAGAGATTGGCGATTCCAGGGCTGATTCCAGACACACGTGAGGAACTACTCCGGCCTTTTTACTTTTAAAGAACGACTCAGACTGGATTCACAGCGCCGTTTTGTGGACTGGTATCATTATTTACGGATGCCAATTTCTATGGATAATGTGGATGAGACGCTGCGTTTTAAATTTACAACTATATGAGCGGTGAGGAATAAAGTCGCCTCATTATTTTCATTTTATCCTGAGTTTGTATTTTGTGTCTCTGTGTCCGTCACTCCTCTGCCCCTGACGCTCTGTTTTTTTTGGCTTTTACCGTAGCGTTGCTGATGTTTCGTGGTTATGATCTGACAGAAAAGCTCAGAGTCACACTGACGCACACACACACACACACACACACACACACGAGGCGGCCTTAAGATTACATAAGACAGTTAAAATCCCAAAGTGTAAACTCCAAAAGGCTCCAAAAATATAACTGCTGGTATTTCGCATGTCGTCGTGGAGAAATTTGAAAAGGCCGTCTTACGTAACGCCTCATACTTTTAATAATTGACGGTTTATTTACACAGTTGCAGCGTATAGTCGACCGGGCGCTTTATCACAGTATTTTTGAAATGTCAGAATTACTCCAGGGATCGAGTCGGGGAGCGAAAAGAAAACTGGCAAAAACAGCTCAGACACAAATACTGAAAAGAACAAAAAATAAAAAGTCTGGAATTTTTTTTGTGAGCTACAGGTACTTTCAGGAGGTTTCAATGATTCTATGAATATATAAAAGTTCAAATCATATATTGGAATTTATGTACTGTTATCGTGTCATCAAAAGTCTATCAATAATATCATGGTCTTTCACAAAATATCAAATTACAAGTTTCTCTGCTTAAATTTATTAGTTTTGGTGAAGCAAAAGCTAAAAAACAGAGAGAACTACATAGACCAGGAGTGTCAAACATACGGCCCGGGGGCCAGATCCGGCCCTCCAAGACCTTTAATCTGGCCCTCGGCTAATTTTCTACTAAAATATTTTAATTATTTTCTATTAAAATATTGTTAATTTTCTGCGGTGCTGAGCATATCAGTGTCTCCAGTGTCTCTGTACGTGGCCCCTCCCACCAGAGCAGCACAAATGAAGACTTGTCTCTTTCCAAACGCTCTTAAAGGACGTTGACCATGACACCCTCATCAGCAAAATGTCAAAAATGAGAAAAGTGGAGCCGAGTGCAGGATTTTCCAAGAAAAATGGACTTTGTATGGCATTTGTCTCCGGTAGGTTAGATACTGTAATGTTCTGCTCACTGGTCTCTCCAAACGAGCTGTGAGACGCTGCAGAACATCCAGAACATCCAGAACATCCAGAACATCCAGAACATCCAGAACATCCAGAACGCTGCAGCTCGGGTCCTGACTCGAACTAGGAAGTACGAGCACATAAGTCCTGGTCTCAGGTCTCTGCTCTGGCTCCTGTGGCTCAGAGACTTTAAAGCAGCTCTGCTTGTACAAGTGTCTCCATGGCCGAGCACCAAAGTCCATCTGTGACATGTTAGTGTCATATGAACATCTCACACTCTGAGGAGCTCAGGGACCAACTCCTGCTGGTGCCCAGAGTCACGACTAAACAAGGGGAGTCAGAGTTTCAGGTTCATGCAGCTAAAACCTGGAACAGTCTGAACATGTGAGACAGACTCTTCTGTGACGCTGTTTAAATCCAGACTCAAAACATTTCTGTTTAACTGTTCATATAACTGAAAGGTTTTCATTCCTGCACTCTTCTCTCCTAATTTATGTCCCTCTTTTTTAATTTTAATCTTTTATGATTATTTATGTTTTGATTTGTTTTTATTATGATTTTAATGTATTTCTTCATTCTGTAAAGCACTTTGAATTACTTTGTGTACGAATTGTGCTGTACAAATAAACTTGCCTTGTCTTATTCCATATTTACATACAAGTTAATGTTAAAACATTGTGTTAAATATTATAATTATTATAATTATATTATTATTATATTATATAATTATAATATTATTATTATATGATCAAACGGGCTGATGTGGCTCTACAGTGGTTCTGGTTTATATGTTGTAAAGTTGAGTTTATTTATGCTGAAGATTTGAATGAAGAATCTGTTGGGTTTGATGTGTGCAGTGGATTGTGGGAAGCTCCTCACCGCTGGTTAAACCTCCCGAGTTTCTTATGCTAAAGCAGCTCACGGTTTGTGTTTTTCCTGGTTTATTAAATTGATTTAAGTTAATTTTTGCGCTTGTGCATTTGTAAGATTATGTCAAGAAACCGGGACACTCCATTTGATCATGTACACGTGGATATGAGTGTCCCGGGTTCTCAGTGCGCATGTAAACACAGTAACACGAACACTGACAGAACCGGGACACTGATAATAACCATAATACTGATGTGTATGTAAACACACTCATGGTCTCTGTGATTTTTGTATTTATATTTTCTCAGTTCCATCCTTCTCTCCCTCATTAGTCTCGTGCAGGGGAGCAGACAGAGGAGGGTCTGTTAATCCCGGTTGTTACGGCCCCAAAATTGGACCCTATTCATTTCTTAAAACGTCTTGCCCCGGGCCCCTAAACTCCTGCCGCCGTCCCTGGTCCCGTGCGTGTTCGTGCTGGTTTAGTTCGCTCGTACCTGGCACACGACGGGGAACTGTCTCCGGTGCACGTGCAGCCCGTCGATGCCCAGAGGGAAGACGGCCGCCAGGGCCATCATACAGCCCACCGCCGTCATGTTGTTCAGGTACGGCTGCGAGTTCTGGATGTATCTGCAAGAAAGAAAAAGAAAAAACGGGGAGAAAATCAGTGAAGAGATCTGAGTTTCACGTCTTTTTAATGATGCGATTTCTTTAAATGATTCAACAACCAGCGTGAGTCACTTCTCATTCAGGGTTTTCTCTTCATGTTTACTTCTTTCAGTATTATAGAAAAATACCGAAGACAACAGAAATATGACGCAACATGTCTGAAATCATACAATAAAATAATAAAAATAAGCCCAATTATAAAGCGGCCGCCCTTTGGTTTGTCGACAGCGCTGAAAAACCTTTGACCTTCTCTCGGTGAGCTTCATGATGAAGTCTCCTGAAATGGTTTCCACGTCACAGATGTGTTTAAAACTGTTCAAAAACTTGGCATGTTTCCTCATCAAAAGCAGACCTGGAGTTGTGTGTTTTCGTTTACACATACAGCTACATCTCAAAATGCTCTGTTCCACCTTGTGATGTCATCTAGTGGTTTTCAGCAGCTACTTTTTTAGGTTTAGTTCAGTAAAAAATTGGCAGTTCTAGGTCTGAAATTACGCAAATGATTTCAGTAAAGATTTATGTCAGGAGTGTCAAACATACGGCCCGGGGGCCAGATCCGGCCCTCCAAGACCTTTAATCTGGCCCTCGGCTGATTTTCTACTAAAATATTTTAATCATATTTTCTATTAAAATATTGTTAATTTTCTGTGGTGTTTATCACAGCAGCGTCTCCAGCGTCTCTGTACGTCGCCCCTCCCACCAGAGGACGATCGTTTTGACTGTTGACCGTGACAACCTCATCAGAAAAATGTCAAAAATGAGAAAAGTGGAGCCGAGTGCAGGATTTTACAACAAAAATGAACTTATTCCTATTTACATACAAGTTAATGTTAAAACATTGTGTTGAAATTACATTTTTCTTAAAGTTTCAGGTTGTTCATAATATTATAATATTTTGTAAAAAAAAAAAAAAGAGTTCATCAATTAAAAAAGATTTCTGTAATAGATTTGTGTTTCTCTGCACAAATATTTGAACTTATTGTTATTTTTGGGGTTTATATGACATGAGTTTTCTGATCCGGCCCCTTTGGGATCAAAGTCGGTTGGATACGGCCCCCGGACCAAAATGAGTTTGACACTCCTGATTTATGGAGTTTAAAAACACAGTGGAGCACTTCCTGTATTACAGCATTATATCACAAGGTGGAATGGTTTCCATTTGAGATCAGAATTCAGCCTAAGTCCACGTTTATATGAAGATGGTCTGAACAGAAGACGCAAAAGTGGCATCGCCTCTTCACTTTTTATTCTTGAATTTGACTGTATATGTTTGTATGTAAAGTAACAAGTGCATCTTTGGACATTGGAAGTTTTCACAACACGCATTTTCATCAGCTTCTCCTTCCACCAAGTTGTTCCACCATCGACTGGTTCTCCAGGTCTCGTCCAGATCTGTCTGACTCGACTATGACGACCTGGTGCATCCAGAGTTTGATAGAGGTGATTGCAGATCCTTCTCTGTTCACTAATAGTATCTCTGCAGATTCTCTACATTTGTTGGGAGCCTCCTGTAAGTTTATTAGAGCAGCTAGAGCAGCTTGAAGGTCCGACACATGGAAATGAGCCGACATGTTTGTTTCGGTGTACTGTATGTATGTGACGTAAACTCGAACGTAACCAGAGTTTTGCGTCTTGGGCAGTGTAGATGGAAACTCTACGGTGGAGTGTTTCTGAGTGAACTCTGGAGGACGGTCATAGATTTTTGCATTTTTAAGCCCTAAAAACACCATCACCGTGTAAACAAAAGGCACTTCTGAGCAAATATTTTGTCGTTTTTACCCGCAAGCGTTTTCGTGTAAACAAACTCTAAATCTGCAGGTTTTGTGAGTTTTAAACACATGTGAATGAAACAAACAACAACAACTCCAGCTCTGTTTGTGATGAAGAAACAACATTAACAACAACAAAAATCAGAAAATCCCATAATAAGAACCCTTTAAAATGTCCCAAAGCAGAGTATGTGAAGATTTATTAAAACATGTCGTCACTCTGCTGTCACACGTCACACTCTGACAGTCTCCTCCTTTCATTTGGTAAAGACTCGGTCATCTGACGGTTCTGCTCACCTCCCTGCGCCGTGGAGTCAGTGAGGCCCACACTGGTCTGGTCTGTTCGATTATTAAAGTAAAGGGCGTTACAGGAGTCTGTGTGGGGGAGAGTCTGGATTTAAGACTTTGTTTTTGTTTTTATGGCGTAAAATTTAAAATGTAATCAGGATTAAACACGGGTAAAGGTCTGGATATACTGTCTGCTACTGTCTGCTGAGAAAAATAAAACACAAATACAAGCCACATAACGGATCATATACAAACCAGGTCTAAACAGGTC